CACCATATATATATATATATATATATATATATATATATATTATATATATAAAAATATAAAAAAAAAAATCGAACGGGAATTCTTCCGTTGAAACTTCGGTTTTTCCAGCTGCCAGCTCGTGTCGCCGCATCATTCATATCTTTTTGCTAAGCAATCATTGCTGTATCGTATGCTTTCCTCGTGGAATCGAGTCAGGTGTAAACGGATTAGCTTTTTTACCGCAAACGACGCGAGAACATATATAAGTGTATTAAGACTTTCAGAGTCTTAAAAGTGATTCTAAAATATTGATTTTCTTCATTTTTCTTTCTTTTTTCCTCCGTTATGTACAACACACGTACATAGTTTGACCTGAGTAGTATTAACAAGATTTTAATTTGCTATTATTGATTCAACGATATTAAGTTTATCAGGAAAAGCGATAATGATTTTGCTATTCTCAGCAATGATCGTGAAAACCAATAGGAAGAATGCAAAAGAAACGTATGCGTTCGAGAGAGACAAATTGGTGCCATTATATCATATCTTTGCAATTTTAATATAAATTATCCTCATCATTATTCCTAGATATTATTCTTACGTAAGATATGTAACGTGTAAGCAAATAAAGTAGATAAAATCTTTGTAGAGCGCTTGATAAAATATTTCAACAACATCTCGACTTCGTGTCAATCTTTTTGAATATATATAGATTTTTTGATCTTCATCGTCGCCTTTATCATCATCAGTTGTATAGTTATATAACAAAATGCTTAAGCTTAACTACTAATAATTGAATTTACGTTAATGAGAAGAGTTCAGAATTATAAATTTGTTCATGGTTTCATGTTCTTAAACGTAATTGCATGACCGAAAAAGAGACACGTTATTGTTATATACGTAGAAGAAAAAAAAAGGATTGTGTTTTACAGTATCTCTCGTGAGACACGTGATCCAGAGTGCGTACGTTTCTTCTGGATTCCGCAGCGCGATGCGAGATGTTTTGTTATTCGCGTTTCATCGTTAGCACTTTTACTGATTTACAAGCAGAAAACGAGCGCAAACAATTCCCCTGATTGTTTTCCCTCGAGCCGAAAACATTTAATGTAACAGCATCCGGGAGCTTGACTCCATTTATTTTCCACTAATCCACTGTTTCAGAAAACAGAAAACTGAGCAACAGTGCACTTGTAAGCAACTGTCTATTTCGTATAAATAATTCTATTATTATTATTATTATTATTATATTATTATTATTATTACTATTGTATTATTAATTTTGGTTTATATATCCGTAGAAGTCAATATACCAGTGTTTACAGTAACACCTAAAGCATCCTGTCATTTATCATGGCGAAAATATGCGACGTAGTTATAAGTTCTCGTATCTAATATAATACAAAATATCCTAAAATTTTATATATGATATCTGGGCGCTATTTTTTGTTAAATATATGTATGCTATTGATATTTTTATATCTGGTGGCCGTAAGAAATCAATTGTACAAAATTGTACATGGAAAGGTGAAGAAAAGAATCATTAATACGAAACGAAACATAAGGTGAGTTTAATTTTGCACTCGGGCCCCGCCGAGTCACGAAGCGATGGATTACAAAAGTTTAAGAAATATCTTTTACACGGAATATTTTACGCAAATGTTGTACTTTTCGTGAAACAACAAATCGTGAAAAAACCAAGACACACTCTCTTTAACATGGAATATTCTCTTCTCTTTTCGCGAATAGTGTATTTTTCGTGAAGCAACAGATTACAAGAAACAGACATTTTTTTTAATACTCAACATTTTTTTCATTTTTCGTAAATAATGCGCTTTTTATGAGGCGAATATTGTATGTTTTACGAGTTTCGCGCTTCTCGTTGTATTCATGTCAATCTAATTTTAGATTAGAATCTCAATTACACTAATTTAAAGCAAAAAATTATTTTGAACCTGACAAAGTGTTTCTTAGTTTTAGATGCTGAAAACAATGCTGCAAGCCAAATCTTTTCAATACGTCGCCAAGATTTCTAAAATAATTGAAGTGTAGTGCAAAACACGATTTTTTTATATTTGGGATATTTGAGGATTTTTTTTAGGAAGAGTTAATAATATTTTAAAATTCTAATCAGAAATTATGAATATATTATTCATCCCCTATAAAATTTTTTTTTTTTATATCTTTTTAGACATGTTCTGAAGAATTTTAATATAGAGTTTTATTGATATAGCTAATGATTGCATACGTTTTCACGCGTTTAAACTCAATCTTTTATGCGTCATGTAACATAAGCATCATAATTTCTCGCCTCAAAAATTATAAGAAATGTTTATTTTACTTTTCCTATAGCAAAAATAAGCCTTTTCGTATCATCCTTCCTTGACTTTGGCAGCATCGTTTTTAGCATTCAAAAATCTTGTAAAAAGTCTCTTGTTCGGTTAAAAATAGAAAAAAAAAAAACGTAAACTAATGTTATCGGCGCGTGATTTCCGCGCGAGAGGAAGATACCGGCCTGGCGGGGAACCCAGATAACGAGTATACAGCGAGAAGAGAGGAGGTCCGTATCCGTCGCGACGCCGCGCGCCGATGTCCGGTCTTTCGTACGTGATCTAAAATAGCGCGCGGATGGACGTCGCATTCCCTCTCCACCCCGCCGATCGCTCACCCTTCCCTCGTCCCGCGTAACCGCGGCGTCCCGCTATTGTGACGCGTCTTCCATTCATAAATAGGAACGGCGGCTCGGCGACTTTCGATTTTTCGCGGCCATCTTGACTACGCGACCGCACGAGTTACCGTCGGCTTTCCCGTCCGTCGACGTTCGCGGTCACCTCGCCTGCCGAGAATTCGGCGGAATATTAAATCGCGCGGGCGACGTCGCGCGCGCGTCGTCGCGTCGCGTCGCGTCGCGACGTGCCGCGCCACGGCGGAAGTGCGGGCGGAGCTGCGCGGTGATCGGCACGCAGTGCACAGCTGATCGGTGACTCCGACGGATGGTAGCCGTTCGGCTTATCTCTTAAAGGGGAAACCGCGGGAGCGAAAAGCGATTGGAAGCGACGAAACGAGAGAGAAGAAGAATAAAGCGACGCGAGAGAAGGTCGGAAGGCAGAACGACACGGAACGCAGAAGTTGCCGGGACGGTTCGACGGGCGTGTAATCGCGTTCGCGAGCACAGTGACAGGTGAGAGCACCGCGAGGCGTGCGAAATCGCGCCGCTGATCCCTTCCTTCCTTCGAGAGGACGAAGCCGTCGGTTCCTCCCCACGACGAGAGTGAGGAGGAAGAGAGGCGCAACAACGTCGCCACAGCCTGCCGCTCGTCGGACGTCTCCGATGGTTGCCGTCCGGTGAGTCCGCCGTCCGGAGTCTAGAGTTTAGGTCTAAAAACGGCGCGCTCCAGACGTCGTCGTCGTCGTTGTCGTCGTCGTCGTCGATCGCCTCCCCCGCGTCGGGCACGGGCCGAGGGAAACGGAGGCGCGCTCTGACTTTTACTCGCGACGGCGAGCACCTCCTCCACGCGGCACGAAAATACACCTGCGACGGAATGCACCGGATGAAACACGCGCCACCGACAACAATGCGCTTTCGCGCGGAGTCTCCGCGACGAACACCGCCGGGACACCGTTTTCGTTTCAGTCACGCGCTTGGACTCCGTTCCTTTCGGTCGCACGCTCTCCACGCGTCTCTCCCTTAGCCCTTGAACGAACGCGCGTTCGTTCTCCTCCCACGTAATTCACCCCCTATGGGTGGATAATCCGCTCAGTGACGGCCGGACGCTGTCGAGATCTCTTAAAATGCTCGTAACAAAAAGTAAACGCTGTCCGATAAAATGTCGAATGACACGAATAGTCAGGTAACACAAGGTAAACGACATCGTGCTGTGTGTTAAACTTAATAATTAATAGTAAATTAATAATTTTTTATTACGTAATGTTTCGCCCCCCTCCCTCCCCCGTATATTTGTTTTATAATGTATCATTATTCTTTATTCTTGAGATAAGATCATTTTTTTCTTCCTTTTTCTTTTTTTATATGATTATTGCACTCTTAATTTGTATCGCTGAATATGATTCGAAACGTTCAATTTTTTTATTTTTATATTATTTTTAATATCGACTTCCATCTTCCTATTTATTGATGTTAAATTTTATTAAATTTAATTGCGCGCCAACAACCGCGCCGATTCTTGTCCTTAATCCTATCACATTTATATACGTTATATATTTATTTTGATTTGAATGTAGGAAAAACACACACACACACACACACACACATACATACGGTGTCGCGACGCGGAGAACGAGATAGGATTATCTTTAGCCATGCGGCGATGGAAAAATAGTAGAAAAATGTGCGCCCGCCGCGTCATATATCGGTTTCGATCGTTGCGCAAGATTTACGATAATGTTTGCGCGTTGATAATCTCTTTCTCTCTCGTACCCGCACAAGTTTCCGCGCGCGTGGGCAAGAATTATGCGCGTAAAAACGCGCGACGTCACGCTTTAAATGCTGTTACGGTGCATATGTGTGCGCGTGCGTGCGTGTGCGTGCGTGTGCGCGTGTAAACAAGCTTCTCTCAATGCGATCGATTACCGCCTCCAGTTGCGATCTCGTTCTCCTACCTCTCGCGAATCGAATTATCAAATCAATTACATAATTGAACCAGCACTCGCGCGTAAAAGACAGGCAGAATATTTTTACCGCGAGATAAAGTGGGATATCAAACTGCTCAAACTTTTATTTATATAAAGTTTTTTTAATAAATTTATAGAATTTATTTAGAAAATCTAAAGGAGGTGAGATAAAAATTGAGAGAAGATAAATTTAATTTTTTTATTTTTTATTTTAGAATTAACATTGAATATAGAATTGATGGAATAAATAAAAGTTTTATGTATATAATAATTGTGTATATATTACAATTGTTAAATTAGTAGAAATAATTTTAATTTTTAAGTAATAGAATTTTTATTAAAATTATAATAAAATATAGTTTGATAAATTTTGAGGTGTGAAAATAGAAATATAATATGAATATAATAATATATATATAATAATATATGTATATAAATATAAATTAAAGATATTGTAATATATTATATTTTAATGATAAGAAAAAATTAGTGTATTTGAAAATGATTAAGCTGAAAAAAAAAGTATGAGCGGTATAAAAGTGGAATATATATAAAAAGGGTAAAATCTTGGGAATGTTTGATTTGAAGTTTTAATTTTGAAAGGATTTTGCTTAATTTTGAGAGGATTTCGCGTTTTAAAATGTCGCGGGTTTCCATAACGTTGTAAAGCACGCAGCAACACGGGCGCAGAGAATTCCATTTCGTTTGACAGACAGCGGTAAGAGGAAGCGGGGGAGGAGGGGGAGGAAGGGGAGAGGGGCTAAGTATCAAGTACGACAAATCGCGATCGGTCCGTGCCACTGCCGCATCAATTTAACGGCCCGTCATAAAACAAATGTATCGCGTGCTTGTCATAACAAGCCCGCGGTGGAGCGTTCCGCCTCTCGCTGCGTCGGTTTATTTAAAGTCAAGAAGTACATACTAGTGACGATTGGCCAACCATTGGATCAGGTGCTCGTTTCCGGCGATTGAGACGTCCTGAGGCGCCGATCGACACCGCCCGCGTCCGTCGACAAATTCGGAGCGAAACTCGCGCACTCGCGGGAATTAGATATCGATAATCGTACGCAAAATTTTCATTGGAATTATATTATGATAAGAGTCCAAGAATTTGAAGCGGCGCGGAAAGAACAGTTTTGCTAAAATATATTTTTTTGCTTAATTTAGATCTGAAAATAATTTTGTTGGATTATCGAAATAATTACGTGGAACGTTCAAATTGATTGTTAGAATATCAAAGATTTTTTGCAGTATTATTGTCATCATGCTTAAATGTTCCACGTAATTTTGATAGTCCGAAACTGAATTATTTTCAGATCGGTATTTGGTAAAAATTTTTTAGATAACTTTAGCAAAATTGTTTTTCTGTGTGCCCCTCCGGAAGACTTGGTTCTGATTTTCCGGATTTTTGGGCAGTACCAAAATTTAAATTTAAGAAAAGATAAAGAGAAAAACAAATTTTATTGGTTTGCTCATTAATTGTTTTTGAATGCTTAATTTATCAAAATAATTATATTTACTTGCTCATTTTCGCGACTTCTATCTGTGTCTATTGCATTTCAGATACGTTAATTCAATCGACAGATTTGAATTGACAAACAACATTGTATTTGGAAATTAAAAAAAATATTTGACTTTTCAAAAAGGAAATTTTCGGACGACGCGATTTTCTGGCTTTCTGGCATTCAAATTTTTGGACTTTTACTATACTGAGTAACATGTATTTGTTGAAACATTAGTATGAATTCTGCTAAGCAGGAATTTGCTAATAAATTTCGATTCTGTATTTAACATCGCAATTCTAGGCTTTATCAATTTTTTACTAACGCTTTGACATAACTCCTAATGTTCTCTCGAACATTAATAATATGAAATTCACTCTAGAGGATACAATTGTTGATATCCTTCGTCATTATCTCATTATTTCCTTAACATTCGCGATTAGGTGTCCTCGAATTAAAATATGGACGATTCGTAAATTTAATTTGTTCTTATTACATTTCTCATTACATTTCGGCATAATTGATTATTTAGATTACGAGGCGTGATAGGATTTTATCTTCGTCTAACGAAGAAGCAATTGTTTACCGTTTAAACGATAGTTGCGTAATAAAATGATCGCCAAACTTACTCAATAATTTTGATTAATGATTAATTAGAATAGAACGCGCATGAAACTGATGAAAATTTTCATTGGGATATAATTTGAACCGTATTCAAATATATCCCGATGAAAATTTTCATCGGTAACAGAAGCCCACGATATTTATATTGTAAAACATCAAATGAATTATTCAAATGAGTTATTCATGAGTTATTCATTAATTATTCAGTCGTAACGTTGAATGTGAAGTTAGCATCTCATTTTTTACGTATTATTTTTAATATTAATATTTAATGTTAATCGTCGGAATTTTTTTTAAACATAAAGAAATTCTTATATTTCTTACAAAGAAGCTAGAACTTAATCATAATTTTCGAGAACTAAAGTTAAGATGCTAACTTCACATTCAATGCCCATGTTTACATTCAATCTAGAGAGTCACTCTGAGAATCGATATTAACTTCGTAGAGGAAGCTGAATTATGAAAGTAATCTAACTCGCGTATATCTCTCGCTTCGAGATCATTCATCATTTTAATTGATATATTAAAAGTATTTTTTAATATACTAGAGAAAAGTTATCGATATTATACTTGTCGTTATACTTTTTTGTTTTCGGGTTATATTTTTTAAACAAAAACTAAATATAAAATTTTAGAAACATAAATTACAAACTAAAAAGTGTTTTTTTAATAGATTTTTGACATAAATTTTTATAATATTGTTTTGTATTTTGCAATAATTAACTATTTAATAAGATAACCAAAAATGAGCATTTGAAAAATTGAGCTTCAAAATTGACATAATAGACAGTGTTATCAGAATTCGGATGTAGTAGTGAAGAATTAATAATGAAGTAAATTAATAAATTATGTTTATTTTTCTTTTTGCTCTTTCATAAGACACAAATAATAGATCAATCACAAAGATTACATTAGATTAAGTTAACATTTCTTCATAATATTTGTCTGAATACGATAACTAGATGCTGACTTGTGCTATATTCCGATTTTATATTTGAAATTTGTATTATAAAAAAAATAAGAAAAAGAAAAATGTAAATATGAAATAATTTTAGGAAGCTATTATGAACATGTAAAATAATTTAATATTATTTTTTAATTTGCAAAAGAAAATCGTAAGAATTTTATTTTCGCATTTGAAAAATATGTTTTTAGCTAATTTTATATAGAAATAAGCTACAAATATATGAATTATGGATTTTTATTTCTTTAATCATCTAAACAAATCATTATATTTCCATTAGTATTAATAAAGTGCAATTTTTAATTTCTGCGAAATAAGAGTATCTCTTTAGGAGACCTATGTCACTATCGGCGACTTTTCTGTACTTCCAGAAAAAATATTAAAAATTTTAAAAAGACATTAAAAAACTGTTCGATTCAATTAATTAATCGCGTTGGACATTAGGGCATTTAATCGACTTATAATTCCATTGGTTACTGGCTGATAGAGACACCCTGTACATAGACGGCGGCGATGACGGTGTTTTGCAGATTCTCTTGCGGGAGAGAAAAAGTGCGATATTATTTTCAGTGTAGTTGGTGTTTATTTTTGCCGGCGCGCGGCAGAACGACTTATCGTACGGCTCTGCTTAACATTAACGGTGCGCGTCCCCCGTCAATTATTATTCTTGGTTCCTTATTTTCGTCTGGTGGCCGACCGACTTGACGCCCCCGACGTACGTTAAACTCCCCGACGCGGGTCGGATCTCGTAACATTGGATTTTCACGATATCGAGGAAGCGTCGTGCCGATCGTTTACATCTATCTCTTTAACAACTTCGATGGATAAATTCTTGTAACAACAACAACAACAACAATAACGATAATAATAACAATAATAACAATAACAATAATAATAATAATAATAATAATAATAATAACGATATGACGATAATATTTATTTATATAAAAATCGCATTCGGCAAATCCGTATATAAAAATGTTATTCGAGAATATTTAGATTTAGATTTTAGATTTGCAGGCATCGCGTTTCTAATAACGCCACGCGCGATTCATTGCGTTCGTACGTTGTCGTTAATTAGACATTATTACGTGTAATTAACTCTCGGGACGCCGTTGCGAGCAACAGGTGTCGGATAGCCGTGCACTGTGTGCAATTTCGGAGACACGCGATTCGCCGCATTCGTGTGACTCGCAGTTTTTTGATAACCAATCGCGATTGCCGTTCCGTCAAATTCGCGGGAAGGAGGGAGGGAGAATTCTCACGGTTTCCTCTTGCGTTTTTCCGCTCGCGGACAATCGGAAACGGCCACGGACAATTGAACATGGACACGGAAAATTGAAAGACGATCTTCCGCGCGTCTTGGATTTCGCATTTGGATTTCGGCGGATTTCCGCGCGTCGCCTGGGAGAGTAATTTCGCGCAGTGTGGAGCAAAACGAAGGGTGGAGACGTGGAAATACCGAGCAAAATCCATTGCTTTTCCTTCGCGTTTCTACACGGGACCCAGACGAAAACAGCCGCGGTCTACGTACGCGCGTCTCTCTCGGGTATTTCATGACACAAATATCTTCTCGGCAGCCTGGAATTCCGCTTTTCCTTTTTCGCTTGTCCCGACGCGCACGGCGCTCTCATTCCCCTCTTAAAACATCCCCGTCGCTGTCAGAGGCGTCCCGAAACTTTCGGCTTTCCGATCATCCCCTCCCCATTTTCATTTCACGATTTTACTATCTCCCTTAAGCTATTGTCACATTACGTATTACGGATCGCGGATCGGAATTCAGCCAATCAAGGTGAAGCTGCCTCGCCTTGATTGGCTGAATTCTGATCCATGATCCGTAATCCCAATCCGATCCGCGTCCGTAAGTGTCGGTCCACAATAGGTGATTTAAGCTTTAAGAAGTAAGAAATTGACCAATTATAATCGAATATGAAAAGAATAATCGACTATGATTGGTCAATTTCTTACGACTTAAAGATTAAATACTTATTGTGGACACTAATATGTTGTGTGACAACGGCTTTAAGCTCTGCGCATAATGGAGGAAATATTAGGAATAGGTACAAGTATTAAATTTTAAACATAAAAATTCAAAAAATAAAAATTAAACATAACGCATAATGAATACAAATAGATCTGAGATATGACTATATTTTATATTTATTTATATTCATTGTGCGTTATATTTAATTTTTATTCCAAATTTTTTTATTTCCAAAATTTAATATTTATTTCTGTTCCTAATATTTGTTTTATTATGCGCAGGTTCTTACGAAAATGCAGCGTGATTCCGTCTCTGGCGCGTTTTTTTTTCGTTTTTGACCAAGTCTTTTTCGCGAATGTTCTCGATTAATGAAAGTTTTTCAATTTGATCTTTAATTATCTCTATAATCGGCTTTGAATAAAAACATTTTGCGTATCTGGGAACTCAAATATCTTCACTCTGACGAAGAATTTTGCATGAATAAAATATTTATTGACTACATTTATTTGGTAAAAGTCGAAGGATGTAACATGGCGAGTACGTAATGAGCCAATGCAGAGTATCTGAAAAAAACCTGGAAAACCTAGAAAATTCTCAAGGAATTTTTTCATGTTTTGAAAAATCAAGGAATTTCATTATAAATTAAGGAATTTTTTTTTGAAGTTATTTTTCCTAACATTTTATTTTTGTATGATATAATCGAGAGTTCGTTTCATCGATAATTTTTAACGATAAGTGAACTCATCCACTTCAAATATTAGAGCACATTGATTTTATGACTAATCTAATATTCAGTATTGAAGAAAACAATTTTATGTTAGGTGCAATTTTGTTTAAAGGCGAATATTTACTTTAATAATATTATAAAGATAAAATTTTATTCCGGTTATGCATAATTTTTTATTTGTAGTTGTTGAAAATAAAGTTTAAAAACTGTATGCAATATAACATTATTATTATTATAATATTTATATTTATACTAACATACGTCTTAGTTTTTAAAGTTCTTATAGTTTCAAAATTTTTCAAATTTGAAACTCGAGTGATTTGTAATTTTATTTTATGATTTATATATATATATATTTGTGAAATAGATTTAAAAATATTTCCATTTTATCTGGAAATATTTTAATAAGTTGCCTTGCAAATCAGGAAATTATCAGGGAATTTTTTTTTCCCAGGGTTTGAATAGACCTGATGAAAGATTTGTCTCTCATATTCGAATTACTGTTGCGACAATTTGATTTTCTCGGCACTCTTCTTCTTATAATTATCCTGATTCGTCTCACAAGATACGAAAGCATCCCATTGCGTTTTACGCCGCTTAAAAAGATTTTCTGGCATGAGCGGATTGGTTTATTCGGTTGATCGCAAACAGAGCCGGAACGAATTCGCGCGGCCACCATCTTCGAGTGCCATCTGCCCACTCGCATTTATTTGCATTTCGCTCATTTGCGTATAGACTTGTTTTCGAAAATCTCGAGAGGGAGAGCGAGTTACCTGCCAAAGAATCAAAGAAACCGAAGAGTAAACGAGTCCGAAATAATGGGCAAAAGAGAAAGAGTTTTTATAAAAAAAATTTACATGCCAGAAAAGCCACGCATTCTTTTTGAACATTTAGAAAAGTTAAAAATAAAAGTAAATATCAATCGAATGTCTGACGACGCGTAGAATATTGTGCCAAATTAGATTAATTAACTCATTTAAAGATCAAGACATGAACGAAGCAAGGCGCGTCAATAAACACTTTCCTCCTTGATTGATGCCTCATTCACCTGACTCGCCGTCTGGCCAGGTACGAACAGACGGAAGAAAAGGAAATGGCGGAGATTATTAATTCTAGCACTTTATTTCGCCGCGTGGCCATGCTCCAAATGCAAATTCCGCGCGACCGAAGCTTTTACGTCCCCTCCAAAACCTTTTTCGATCAAGTTGGCATCGCGCCGTTTATCAATCGCGAGCTTGCGAAAGTAGTTAAA